GTAAAACTGATGATCTGCCCTGTAAACTTTCACTCAATTCATAATAAAAACTTTAAAAAAATAAATTTCTAGAGTTTTAAAAGAGAATAACTTTACCACTTTTTCAGTATACTGTATTTAATAAGCTACTTACTGCCTTAGGGTATAGCATTGGTGTATCAGTCGTGGCATATTTTAGAGTATGAAACATTGCAACAAATCACATATCAGCAGTTCAAACTCACCAGTCACTCCTCAGGAAATCTATACAGGGTCACTATGTCAGAACGGACTGGGCGGCACTTACCAAAAACAACTAGTAAGTTACAGAAAGCCAGGATTTATAGTTCTGAGCTTCTCTTAGTTGGACAGATCTCATACCAGGCATTATTTCTATAATTTTCCCTAACATTGCTTTCCAAATACTTGTTGATTCTAAACATCAACCTGACTAAGGGTTTCTGTTTGATACATTAGGGAAAGTCAAAAAGCATTGTTACAAAATCACAGAAACTTCTATTAAACAAAAATATTAAAATGTGAAGCTATCGTTTCTTGACATATCCACCATCCAGGTCTATCCATGAATTCCTTAAGGCAGTGTTTTCCATCTCCTTACCCTTCCATAATGAATTCTGTATTCTTTAATTGATGTCATATCAAAATGGTAGTGTGGGCATCTTCAAAGGGCTCAAATCTTTTTACTTTTCAATGTCTTTGAGTTTGGGGGACAAAAAGAAGTCTGAAGGGACAAGATCAGTGCCGTAGGGTAGACAGAATAAGATTTCCCAGCCAAAATTCTCAAAAAGCAGCCTTTATCCCGCTTGAAAAATGAGCAGGTGTACTGTCAAGATAGAAAAATATTCTTGGTGCAATTTTCCTGGTCTTTTTCTCATCAACGCAGTTTTGAGTTTCCTTAAAATTTCATCCTAATAAGCCCCTGTAATCGTTCTGTATCCTTTTAGAAAATATATCAAGATTTGTTGTTGTTGTTAAGTGCCATCAAGTCAGTTCTGACTTTAGTGACCCTGTATAGGGTTACCGAGCAGAAAGCCTCATCTTTCTCCCACAGAACAGCTGTGTGAGAAACCACCAGTCGTGTGGTTCCCAGTCCTGTGCCTATTGTATGGAGCCACTGTTCTTCCATACCAAGAGTTGTTGTTGTTGTTGTTAAGTGCCATCGAGTCGGGTCCGACCCATAGCGTATCCCTTTAGAATTCCAAAAAACAGTTGTCATAACCTTCTGAGCTGGTGTCTCTGCCTCGAATTTTCACTTGCTCAGCAGAACCCCTCATAAGAAACTGTTTTGATTGGACTTTTTTTGGAAGGCACCTTAACGAGAACAAAACAAGTGTACTACTGAGAGAAGTTCTCTACAGCCAACCACTGATGGCAGGGGCATGGTAAACAAGTGCTGGTTGGAATAAACCCATGCACATATGAACTGGAACCCTAGTAGCAGTATTTTTACATACTTGGTGGCAAGTAATATGAATTTCCTGCATAAGAGCCATGGGGTAGTACTCTTTTCCTTACTCCAACTCAAGAGAAAAATATCTTTCACAGATATGTTGTATTAAGACCATAGGTGGAATCTTGAACTCTATTAGAATCTTCTGAAGTGGGAAATTTCCACTGAAAAGGACAAGCAGACCAGCCTGAAGCAGCCAGAACAGAAGATACTTCTTGAAAGAAAGACTGACAGGAAAAATATAAAACAATAACAAAATCCTACTAACTACTACAAGAATAAGCAAGTTGCTCCCCCAGGAGACATCAAGGCACGCGGCTGGGTCCCCTCAGGCAAACCACCTTCCAAGACTAACACTCAATGGGGATACAAGAGCAGACATGTGCTCTGACTGTGTGACCACGTTGGTCACCGATAAGGGGAAGTGAGGGAAAAACAGCAATGAAGCGGCAAGCTAAATCCAACCACATTCAATACACTCCTGTGAACCTGGGTGGAGACCTGGTTGGCCAGCAGTATGGCAAGACCTGAGGACTCCTGGGCCCAGAGTCAGTGACATAGCCACAGAGGACCAGCATGGAGAATGAAGCGTCCAGCCAATAAGAAGAGAAGGCATATACACAAGAACACCCAAACTTGCAGATAATACACACTTGACCTGGCTTCAATGGTTGATCAGAATACAACTAGAAGAAAAAAGAAGAAAAAAAGAGTAATCTGATACAATTTGATGAACTTGACTTATACTTATGGATGCAGTAGCTCAAAAGAGGGAACAAATCTTTACAACAAGGATCATTCCCATCCCCTCAATACACAGGATTGACAGGGATGGACAACTTGAACATCCCCAAAATGGGGGGCTACAAAGGCAAGAAGTGACTGGCTTACAAGCATTCAAGAGGGAGCCTAGATTGAGGGCGCGGAGCAAGGTAGAATCTCCACTGAGTAGTATCTAGTCTGGGCTGGACTAATGAAAGGAGATGGGGATGGCACTCATGTGGCACAATAGTGAATAATTGTTATCAGAACTGACTGTGAGGGTTGGAAATGTAAAGCTAGACATTTTGTAGCAAAAGGCAGGGAGTGATTGACTTTGCAGGCCAGGAGCAAAGGTTCCTGGGACTATCAAGGGAGAAGAACAGAGTGTGGAGCCCTACCCAGAGAAACAGTGACGCCAGAGATGGAGGCAGAGATGATGACGTGGAGAGATGGAGCAGCTGGGAACTCTAGACCCAGACAGGGATAGAGGCTGTGTGCTGATGATGACCAGGGGGCAGGCTTGCAGGGTTATACCCTTTGGATGGTTGATGATGCATGAAGGGGATTGTAATCATGGCAATGTAACGATATACGATAGGATGAATGTAAAGCTAATAATGTTCTCCCATGTAAACGATCACATAATTTGCAATAAAACAGTTTAAAAAAAATAATAAAGAAAAAAAATTATAAAAATAAAGAAAGATATGTTGTGTTCTCAAACTAGTTATTCAACACTCTCCTATCCAACTCATACCAGTTTTTATTTTGGGAGTAGGGACATACCCTTCCCCCTAAGATTTACCTACCATAACTAATTTAATCATTCACTAACAAGCAAAGAAATAAAAACAGGCAGTGTTGCTTAAATGACATTTCTTACACAATAGCCCAAAATGTTAGGTTTCACAATACAGTGATCACAGAATTATTTTCAATTTTAGAGAAATTATCAGATAATCAAATAGAACTTTTCAAAAATGCCTAAAAATATCATGGAGTTCAACATTCATGCATTAACTTGTGATTCATCATTGTAACACCCCCACCTCCACTGTTGTCAAGTTGATTCCAACTTAGAGAGTCATAAAATTGAGTAGAATTGCGCCATAGGGCTCACAATGCTGTAAATCTAGACAGAAGCCAACTGTCTCATTTTCTCCTAGGATATGGCTGATGGGTTTGGATGGCCAGTCTTTCAGTCAGCAGTCCTATGCTTGACCCACTGTACCACTCATGCTCTTAATGCAATACAATCTTCTGTATCTTGTATTTGAATATGAAACCTTAAATTTCTAATTTATTACTCACAAAAGTAACTAAAAATAACAGCAAATACCGAACTGCAGTAAGTAATTTAAACCAAACAAATTAAATACTCAACGAGAAATAAAGCAAGGCAGCACAATTAGAAGTTCTAGATATTTTACCTTAATTCTTCTCTCAGTGTCATCTAATTTTAATTCTGCTGAGACTAGTTTCTTTGCCAGATCATCTCGTTCAGGTAGGTGCCTTGCTTCAGAGATCTTTTTCAATTTCTTTAAGGAAAATTTTGTCCTAAATAGTTCACCTTCTGTATCTTTTACCCTTTTCTCAGTTGCCCGTTCTTTCTCTTGAGATTTTCTTAGGCGTTCCTTGAGTGCTGTAATCTCACTGTTATGTCGAAGTATAAGTTGTGAGATTTCATTTTCAGTATCTTCAAACTTATTCAGGGCTTTCTCCTGTCTGTACTGGAGTCTTTTCAAAGCCTTATTTTCTTTTAGCAGCTCAGCTAACTTGACCTGGAGTTCAGTAACTTCATTCTGCAATTCGTTGATTTTTAGCAGTCTTGCAGAAAGAACCCGTTTTGTAATAAGATCAGGATCTTTCCGAAGAGGTTCCCTATTGAGGCTCTGGGAGCGATATCCCACTCGAACTCCCTTTCTGTTTGGTAGACCTTTAGGGCTTGATTTCCTGGTGGCTAAAAAAGATACAGTAATAATGGTAAGAAAGTTGTATCAAATGTAATAGTATTTACTTGTTCTAACATTCTTTAATATTCTTTTCTTTAGAAAAGGAATTTCTAATATTTACAAAATATTCCAAATAATTAAAAATGATAATTATGTTACATTGTTTTAAAAGATGGCAATACCAAGCTTTTAGCCATTTTTAACTTTCTATATAAGATGACAGATTCAAACAAGATCATCATCAGCATCAACATAGTACATAGTAAACACCTGATAAATACAAAGACATTCAAGCATTTGTGTCAAGCTGTTTGGTATTATTTGAAATGTAGAAATTTGTTTTCTCTAAATTACTTTCTTTTTTCTTATTTGGGCAAACAAGATGACAGTATACTATACAGTGAAAAGATGTGAAGGTTTACCACTTAATACCTCCTTGAGCAACTCAATTAAACCTTTCCATGTCTATTGTCCACACCAATGAAATGAGGATAATTCTACCTACATAACTATGTTGTTATGAAGGTTAAATATTTAAAACTGAAAGTGCTACACCAATATTCTTTATTAGTAATAAAATATGGTTTACATCCTCTTTATTAGTGACTAGAAATGGAAACACTTAACAGTACAGAAGTGATTCTAAATGGTTTCTGTGAGGATTTCCTTTGTGTAATATTCAAATAAAAAAATCTGAGAACAGAAAACAAAAATTCACATTCTAAAAATAAAAGGACCTAAAATCTTTAAATTATATATATATATTAAATCACAATGTTTAAAAAAATTTAGAATGAAATTATTTTTATTTAGTTTAAGTAATATTACTTTAAATAATGATATCATGATTTTATACAAAGCTTTACTAATCTTAAACCTAGCATCTGGAAGTTTGCCACATCTGAGAGCAATCTCCAAATCTCCAAGGTGACTGACTGCATTATTTTTCAAGGAGAAAATGCATTCCAGAGTAAAGAAAAAAAAACAACCAAAAAACAAGACTATCTAACCTTGCCCGATCTACCTGGCCAGCCAAGGATACTCTGATTTTATTAAATAACCAAACACAGAATAACAATTAATATTTACTTACAAATTGGGCTGTGAACCGCAATGTTAGCAGTTTGAAACTACCAGCTGCTTCATGGGAGAAAGATGAGGCTTTCTGCTCCCGTAAAGATTTACAACCTTGGAAACCCTGCTCAGGGTCGCTATGGGTCGGAACTGACTCCACGGCACTTAACAACAACTTTACATTATAGAGTCCTGATGTAGCACTGTTGGTTAATTCGCTGGACTGCAAAGTTGTTTGAAAGCACAAAGTCAGCAGTTCAAGCTCACCAGCTGCTCCTTGGAAACCCTATACAGTGTCACTATGGGTTGGAACCGACGAGATGGCACTTAACAACAACAAAGTCATATATGGCTCATGAGAAACTTAACATGGGACTAGACCAATTATTTTTATGTAGAAACTATAATATTTTAGGGAGCTCAGTGGCTCTACATGATAAGCAGTGGACTGTGAACCAAAGGTTAGCGTTTTGAGCTACCAGTCACTCTGTGGGAGAAAGATGACACTTTCTGCTACCACAAAAATGTATAGCCTCAGAAACCCTATACAGGGTCACTATGAGTCAGAACCATCTTGACCGTACTTAACAACAACATAATATTTTAGATGTGTTGGATTAAATCAAATGTATTACTAAAAGTGTTTCACCTGTTTATCTTTTTCGTTGAGTGGCTTGCATTTGTGACTCACTTTTTATTTTTATTTGACATTGCTTTAAAAATGTAAGCTTAAACTGTAGTATCCACCATTTCAATTTTCTGACTTTTCCAACATGCTGATTAAAAGTTTTAATAAAACTATATATGTGCACACACACAATTATGAAACTTACATACCGCTCTTGTAATTACAGAAACTTTATATATGATAACATGTATACACAAAGATTAATTTCTTTCAAGTCAGTTTTTTTCCCCCAATAAAATTGCTCAATAGACAAGATTTCATACAAATAGCAGCTTGTTTTATTGCAACAAGTTACAGCCTAGCTAATAAAGGATCTGAATCAAAATTTTCTAATATTTTATTTGAATTATTTGTTGTTAAGTGTTGTCAAGTCAGTTCCGACTCATAGCAACTCTGTACAAGATTTCCAAGGAGCAGTTGGTGAGTTTGAACCACCAACCCTGCAGTTAAAACTGACCTTGCGGTCCAGTGCTTATCCTAAAGCACCATACCAAAAAGGTTTCCATAATCACTATTTTTACATCTTAAACATCTGCACATTAATTTTTATAAATATAAGCTGATCATTAAAAGTATATTTTACTAGAGGTAATAAGTTGCTGGGCCTGGGGGCTCAGGACCATAGTCTCAGGGGACACCATGGTCAACTCGCATAACATAGTCCACCACAAAAACAATGTTCTATATCCTACTTTGTTGAGCAACTGCAATCTTAAAAGGTCATGAGAGACCATCTAAGGTGCAGTTACTGGTCTCTCCACATGCAGACGAAAGAAGTGTGATAAGAACTGAAGGTACTATGGATCAGTTAGTCCAATGGATTAAGGGGACACGGGAGCATCAATCTCCACAACTCTGGCCCCAAAAGAACTAGATGGTGTCTGGCTACTACTAACAACTGCTCTCAAAGGGATTGCACTAAAAGGTCCTAGTTACAGTGGGAGATAATGTGGAATAAAACTAAAAATTATATTAAATAAATAAAATGAGTTTGCTGGTCAGAAAGAGACTGAGGAACCTGAGATTATGGTACTAGACCAGACTGGAGGAACCCAAAGATTATGACCCTTGTTCAGACTGGAGGAATCTGAAACTATGGCCCTTGGCCACCCTTCAAGTCTGGAGCAGAACTCAGCCTTGTGGCCCAGTTTTTAGACAAGTGGTAGACAGGTATATAGGGGGTGACAACACTAGTAGGGTATGCTCATCATGGGATGGTCAGTTATTCAATATCAAAGGGCAACATTTATCTAAGGACAAAATTGAGAAGAGATGGAAAGGTGGATAGAATGGAAACAGGAACCACAGGGAGGAGGTGGGAGAACTGTTGTTACATGGAGGGGATAGTAATCACTGAGATGAAACGAAGTGTATGATTTGTTGAATGCTAAACTGAGGATCTGTTCTAAAACTTCATTCAATTCACAATAGTTTCAAAAATAACAAAGTACATTTAACTAGAACAAAAAAAAATTGTCTTATCTTTTATTTTCATTTTTAAACCTATCAAGATCAAATATAGTACTAACAGCACTGAGAAGAAGACTGTCTTGTATGATACTCTTTATTTCCTTGTTAAGTCATCAATAAAAAGTGGGTGAAGAGTATTTTTTTTCTACTTTCAGGTATTAAAAACAAAATATGGCTCATTTTTAAAAGCATATAGTAAATATAAACTATGTATCTACCCCTCCAAAAGGGGATATGTTTATATTATTGATAAAATATGAGTGTTGCTGTTAAGTGCCATTGAGTTGCTTTCGACTCATAGTAAGGAACCTGCATAGGGTTTCCTAAGCTGCAAATCTTTGTGGGGGCAGAAAGCCACATCTTTCTCCCATAGAGCAACTGGTGGGCTTAAACTGCCAAGCTTCTGGTTTACAGTCCAGTGCTTATCCTACAGAGCCACTGCTCAAAATATGAGTAGGACGTATACTAAATATGAGTATGTATTATTCAAATATATATATAATCAATTTTATCATTGTACAGAAAATTATCAGAAAATTAATTTTTTTTAAATATGTTGATAATTTAAAAAGGGAAAGGAAGGCAGCAATCAAACAGCCTTTCAAATTCAAGTACTGAAGACTTAAATTTTAAACATACCATTCTGCCTTAGTTTACTATTACTGGTGACTATAGTTTAAAGAAATGTTTAATGTATAAGGAAAGGTTTCAGTTTGCCCTTAGTTCTTGGTTGAATTGTGTTATCCGAAAACAGGGATGGGGAACCTTTTTTCTGCCAAGGGTCATTTGAACATTTATAACGTCACTTAATATAAATTTATGTGACTGTGAGAAAAAGTTCCAAGATTTATTTAATTTCTAGTCTCGCTTGTAGTTGCCTTGGTAGGGCCAGACCAAATGATTTTGCAGGCTCATACAGCCCATGGGCAGGATGTTCCCTACTTCTGTCCTAAAATATCAGTGAAATCCTAACCCTCAGTCCCTACGAATGTGAGCTTATTTGGTAATAGGGTATTGGCAGATGTAACTCAAGTTGAAATGAGGCTACAATGGATAGGATGGGCTCTAATCCAATGACTGGTGTTCTTATAAGACAAAGAAAATTTGGACACAGATACACAGGGGCAAGAGTTTTATAAGACAGGGAATACCAAAGATTGCCAGCAGCCATCAGTAGCTAGGAGTGGGGCATGGGACAGATATTTTCTCAGAGTCTCTCAAAGGAATCAACATGGTCAACACCCTGATTTCAGATCCTCAGTGGTCTGGGTTGCAGGCTTCAAACCTGTAGCTACCTAGCAACAGATCAATTCTGTCTTTTGGGAGGTTAGGTTAGTTCTTTACTTCTGGAGCCCTGGTGTAACACTATAGGATAAGCACTGGTCTGCTAACCACAGGTCAGTGGTTAAAATCCACCAGCTGCTCCTCAGAAACTCTATACAGTGTCAACCAACTCAATGACACTTAACAACAACAGAATACTAAACTGGAAGAGAGTAAATTTCTGCTATTTTAAACCACCCAGTTTGTGGTATTTTGTTATAGAAGCCCTAGGAAATAAACATAGCCCTGTTATTTCATCTAAGGCAGACAAACCACCACACATTTTAATTTAGAAGAAACTGCAGACCAAAAAGTAGTAAGTCCGACTGAAGACAACATCTGAAATTTTTCTGGGTGATGGTTAAATGTTTTTCACAACTTTTTCTCAAATAAGCTAAGGCTTATTAAGAAGTTCTAACTCATTCTTTGGGTTATCTAAGTTGCTTTTAGGGAAAGAGAAAAAAATTAAAGGATTCCTTTCCTGTTGTGGAGACCTGGTCAGCAGTTCTAATCTACCAGCTGCTCAGTGGGAGAAAAGATGAGCCTTTCTGCTTTCATTATGATGTACAGCCTCTGAACTCCTATACAATGTCGCTATGAGTCAGAACCAACTCCTTGGCACACCACCACCACCAATACTATTTTGGAGTCCTGGTGTGGCACTGTAGGATAAGCACTGGATTGCTAACTACCAAGGTTTGTAGTTCCTTGGAAACCATGAGTCGGAACCAACTCTAAGGCACTTAATAACAACAACATTATCCTAACTATGTAAATTATGTCTTGGAAATAAAAAAGCTATTTTCTAAAGTTTGATCCTTAAGGACTTTTTGTTTATAACTGTATAGTAAAATTTAGTATCAGTGATGCTTTCAACCACAAAATCAGAATGGGAGACCCTCAAATGAGACAGGTTTCAAAATAGAGACCATAAAACTTGCAGCTTTGTACTTTCAAAAAAAAAAAGAGAGACATTTCTAAGAAGGAACTCTGGTAGCATAGTGGTTACGAATCAGGCTGCTAATCTCTAGGTCAGCAGTTCGAAACTACCAGCTGTTCCGTAGGAGTAAGATGAGGCTTTCTGCTCCTGTAAAGATTTACAGCCTTGGAAACCCTGTACAGGGTTGCTATGAGACAGAACCGACTACACGGCACATAACAACAACAACAAGAGGTAGGTAGGAAATTGACAAAAAGAATGCCTTCAAAATGTATGTATATTCTTTGTAATTTTTAATAAGCAAATATTTATCAAAGTAAAAATTTATGAAAATAAATCTAATTATGCAACGTTTCAGTTCCAACTCATAGTAATATTACGTAAGGTTTTTGAAGCTTTAAAACTTTACACGAGCAGAAAATCTCATCTTTCTGCCTGGGAACAGCTAGTAGATTCGAACTACTGACTTTGTGATTAGAGCCCAAAGCACAGTCCACTATGCCAGCAAAACTCCTTAATCTAATTGGAGTTGTCGTGTGCCATCGAGTCTGTTCCGACTGATAGCTGTTACTATTATATATAACCTGTTGCACTTACTGACCCAAACCCTTCATTTGCCATAGCTTATTTTTCTATGACATACTTTCAATCATTTTTGTTGTCAAATACACTGGGGTTTTCGTGAACAGTAAATTGAATAAGATGGAGAATAGATTTACAGAATAGATGTTGTTATTGTTGTCAATGGATCCAACTATACAGGGCTTCTGAGAAGCAAATGGTGGGTTTGAACTGTGACTTTGTGGTTAGCAGTCTAGAGTTTATCCTACAGTGCCGCCACACCAGGATTCTATTATAAATTAGGTGTTGTTATTGTTGTTGTTAAGTGCTGTAGAGTTGGTTCTGACCCACAGTGACCCTATATAGGGTTTCTGAGGAGCAGCTGGTGGGTTTGAACCATTCACCTTGCGGTTCAAACTGACCTTGCAGTCCATTGCATTATAACATAGGTGGTTACGTGCCATGGAGTCATTTCCAACTCATAGCAACCCTGTACAGGGTTTCCGAGGCTGCAAATCTTTATGGGAGCAGAAAGCCTCATCTTTCTCCTATGGAACAGCTGGTAGTTTCGAACTGCTGACCTTGAGGTTCGCAGCCTGATTCGAAACCACTACACTACCAGTAAGCATGCATTAATGCTAAGTTCCAGACTGGTAACATTTTAAAAATAATTATTTCTAATGATCAATCCTATTTTAACTTGAACATAGTTTAACAAAAATAATTTGACTAGTGATCCAAACCCCAAATTCTATTTCTAGATTTGTGTTTTTACAGGAACCACTGATTTACTTAGATGAAGTATTTTTACTCAACCTATTAAAATGTCACTTAACTACTTCATATCAATGCTTTCCACTACTTTTAAGAAAGAAAATATAGAAAAATATTAATGTTTTATAATTTGTTTTTAGTTTTTGGGTTTTTTTTTGCCTGTACAGTACCCTAAGAAACCCCATGACAAGCATTTACTTAGGAAGAGAAAACAAAATGAGAAGTTTCAGCTGTTATTTTTTTTCTGCATATTGTAACGACTTCAACTATAACAAAGAGCAATATACAGTATCATAAGTAACCTTTATATAAATTTATTTTAAAAATCCTGTTCAAAAGATGTATCAACCCATTTCCTGATATATAACAGTATACCAGTAAAAGAACTTCTTTCCTTTTATTTTCTCAAAAAAAACGTTAATTAAGTCCATGGCCTCGTCTTAAAGAATACATACCTTGCTGAGGCACTTGGCTATCTGAAAGGTGCCTTTTAGGATTTTTTTCCTTAACACTTGTAGGTGAAGAGGCGCTGACCACTGAAGACTGGTCAGAAGACTGTGGTGTAGTTTCACAATCAGATACGCAGTAAGAGTAATGGTGTTTGTCTGAATTTCTTTCTTGATTAGTATCTGGACTGTCTGCTCTTTCCCCCATTGTTCTGAAAAATGGTCTTGTTTCACATAATGTCAAAGATTCTTTTCTCCTGAAAAGTCCATGACAACACTGAAAAGCATGTTTATAGTCTTCAGATCCTGGGGATAATATTCATTTCTGTGCAATCTGAATTCTCCAAATATCCAGCAGTTGAAAATTCATATTAGCAACCAGAAGACACACTTTTCCTCACTATAAATAAGGAAGGGGAAGGAGACTCATCAAATAGTCATGAAATGGTCTACCTTTAGATTTCTACTGATGAGGAGTTTACTAAAAGCAAAACATACTTTTTATATTTCTACAAAAAATATATACAATTTTATCTTTATTTTCACATAGCTATTTATAATAATTGAAGAAAAGATGTTGTCATAGCCTATTTAAATAAAAATTAATGTGTAAAGCATCTGATTATGAAAATACTTCTCAATAAATGTTAACTAAATTTGCTTCACTCCTTGAACCTTAACATTTGTAGTAAACACAAGTGTTGATATTTAATAGGCAACAATAATCAAATCTCTGATTTCAGGGGAGCGGTGTACAATTAAAGTATGTAAAAATAAACAAGTAAACCAAAAGAAAAATCATTTGCAAACATGCCAGAAAAATGGCTACCATACTTACATTTGCCAAATAACAACCACTCAGGCAATGTCTGACCACATATAATCTGTGGGTCCCATCTTGCATATAGCCAATTAAGTTTGAAGTACACACAATGATTTTTAATACCTAACAGGCATTGCTTTGTGATGTGCATCGAAACACTATTATTACTGTATTATTACTTTAAGGAGTTCTGGTGGCGTAGTGGTTACGAATCGGGCTGCGAATCTCATGGTCAGCAGTTCAAAACTACCAGCTGTTCCATGGGAGAAAGATGAGGCTTTCTGCTCCCGTAAAGATTTACAGCCTTGGAAACTGTGTACAGGGTCACTATGAGTCACAACCGATTCCACAGCACATAACAACAACAACAATTATTACTTTAAATTGTTTTAGTGTATCTGGAATTATTTCTTTAATGTTTTTATACATGGAAAGACATAATTACATTCTAAAAGAAACATCTAATATTAGATACAAACCATTCTGACTTAACATACATATTCCAGTCAAAAAGACTTAGGAACTCATTTGCAAAAATGCGGGAACTGCCTGCATATACTATGGCATTCACACAATGTCTAAATCACATTATATTTTTTCACAGAATATACTGTGGACATTGGTGACCCATGAATTCTGACAAATAAAAGATGCTCAATAAATTTGGACTTGCATACTATCAAAGACTTTCGATCTGAATTTTGATACTATAGTTAAAGCTGATACGTGGTATCAATGAGGATTAATTTTATTTATATGCATGAATCAGCAAGTAGCTTCCTATGATTTAGCCATCTAAGTCAGAGTCCTGGAGTGGCACTGTGAGGAGCACTGGTATGGTGCTGTAGGATAAGCACAGGGCTGAAAACCACAAGGTTGGCAGTTCAAACCCACCAGCCACCCTTAGGAAACCCTATACAGGTTTGTTCAAAGACACTTAACAACAACAATCAGTCAGAATTGCAGTCCAACTTTTTATGGCAAAGGGGAGAACCCACGAAATAAGATTACCTGCCACGCCTATGTACATGTTCTCACTCTCTCCAAGCATCAAATAAATGCACATGTTGTTAAGTGTCATCCAGTGGGTTCTAACTCATAGTGACCCTGAATAGGATTTTTGAGGAATGGCTAATGGGTTTGAAC